TATAATAGTAGAAATATTTTATCTAATCTTATTCAAACATTTTTTGTAAAGTCTGAAAATTCCATTTTTTGACGAACACTTGTTCACGATTCATTTTGTTTACCAAAGTATTTGTTTTTCTTCTTTTTTTTCATATTTCGAAGAATAATAATTTTTCATTCAAGTTGGATAAAAATAAAAATGAAAATTAAATAAAAATAATTTTTATTACGGTTAGTTAAATGGAAAGAAAAATTAACAAATAAAAAAAAAATACTCACTTTACATAAATCATTTTCTTTCTCGCAGAAAAAGAATTTTTATTAGAGTTAGATAAAAGTAAAAAAAAAACAAATAAATATAAAATACGTATTATATTTAAATAATATTTCTACATTCTTCTTTTTATCTTTTTCTTTTCAGGATGAAAATACATCGTAGAAACAGTACGATCGATATATTAAAACCAGAAATGCATTTGGACAGCGCATCTAACAGACAGTGTATGTGTTTTATTCTAAATATGTACAGTTAATTGAAACTTTTATTTATTGATAAATATGTTTGTTTATTATGTAAATCTTTCCATATGATAATGCTTAGTAAACAAAAAATATTATAGCCGGACGTCGTAGTCGTCGTCGACGTTGTCCTCATTGCATAAGTTCGATTAAATTCGATTGGTTCAAAGTAATATATGAAAGTGCGAAGCAATGCGGGACATTTAAAGTTTAGAAGAAACGAGAAGGAAGGGAGGGTCGTTACTATTTTCGTGTCTTGTATCTTATAGGCAACCAATACCAACTTGTGTATAGAAAGTCGAGTTTAGTTTGTGAGAAATCGATGGATTAAAATGATAATCGTATAATACTGAGTAATTGTTTACTTATTTTTTATTTTATTTTATTTATTGTTTACTCGTATAAGTAAGCGATGAGATGGATTAATTAGATGAAAATGCAATAATTCGTACATCATAAAAAAAAATAATTTTTATTTAAAATTTTAATTTGATTTGATTTATTCTTTTATTTTAGTATACATAAGTTTAAGTATAAGGTTTGTTTAATTGTTATCTGACCGAATTGAAATTTCCATTTTAAACAGATTTCCTATTATTGGAGAATATAACTTCTCAATATACCCATCCATGTATACTCGATTTAAAAATGGGGACCAGACAACATGGCGATGATGCCAGCGCTGAAAAGCGAAGTAAACAAATAGCAAAATGTGCCGCTAGTACGTCGGCTTCTTTGGGTGTACGATTGTGCGGAATGCAGGTTGGTTGAGTTTATCTGTTGTGTATGAATTTATCTAGATGATTATAAAAATAATAAAAAGAAAATATTTAAAAAGACGAGATTATAAAATATCGTAAAGAAAATTAGTTTTAAAGTGTTTTCAAAGTAATTTTAAAAATTCACAATATTTCTCGTAAAAAACATTTTCGATTAATTGTAATAATTTGGAAAAAAAAATATTGATAAAAATTAGTTTACCTAAATAATTCTAGTTCACCTTGTAGATATATAGATATCTATATTATAGATAATAATGGAAGAATATGTATAAATATCTGTGTGTCTCTTTGTGTTGCATCTTTTAGGTATATCAAGTTGATTCTGATCATTATATTAAAAGAGATAAATATTGGGGCAGAGAATTAAATGAAGAAGGTTTTAAAGCTGCCTTATATCGATTCTTTCACAATGGCTTTTGTTTAAGAACATTGGTTATTGAAAGGGTGATATCTCGATTAGAAATATTGCGTCGTGCTATCGAAAGACAAAGTAGCTATCGGTTCTACTCGTGGTAAGAGATCCTTTTTTTTCATTATACATATATATTTATAAATATACATTAATAATAGTAATAACAATAGTAATTATTATTAATAATAATGACATATTCTTAAATAAATCCAATACGTTTCCAATTCGTTAATTTTTCTTGTTTTTTTTTCTTGTTATAGGTTAATTGATTTATTTATTTATTGATTTATTCATTCATTCATATTCGCAAACGACAAATATTTCATTATTACTTTATATATTCGCTAGCACTCGTTTAGAAATATTTGTTTTATATGTGATAATTCAAGGAGATTAAGAAAAAAAAATGCACGAAAGATTTATTCATAATAAAAAAAAGAAAGAAAAAAATAATTATACCGTAATTGCTCAATGATATTCACACGGCACGTTTACCTTTTAAAAGGTTTTAGTTACTATTCTTAGTTGCACTAACCCCTCTCTTATATATACGTACATAGGCATAACTATAGTTGTATACATTTCTATACGTATATATCAATATTTCTATATAGAGATAGTGTTATTTAAGCGATTCGATGAATCACTCGGAGTGAGTATCGTAAAATGTCAGAAGTTGCTCTTAAATTATCTAATTATATGGGTGAATCGTTTATTCGTGAATTAATGACACATCGGTGATTGTACCTCATTAGAGAAAAAGAAAAAGAAAAAGAAATATAGTCGTTGTTGTTATTTATTTTTATAAGTATATAAAACTGTTCGTTATTTAATCGATCGTAAATAGAGTAAGCGGAGGAACGTGTTATATTAAATGATCGAGAGATCTTCTGTTCGTCTAATTATTAAAACTTTAGATCCTCGATGATGTGTTATACGCTTGAAAAACGATGCACGAAGGTAAACAAGTGTGAGTTAGATAGAAAAAGAGAAAGAGAGACGAACGGGGAATGTCCAAGTATATAAGTTCATTACCACATTTATTACACAACAATAACTTTATGTATAAACAACGTTATATAATCAAAGAATTGATTAAATAATTGAGAGTACAGTTCGAATCATCCCCTTTATGTTTATCTCTTTAACATAGTGCGGAAGAGTTACTTTTTCTTTCTTCTTATAAAAATTTTTTATAATGTTTATACATTTTTATAATTATTTAATTACATGCAATTTTTAACTTTATCTAGTTTGGTATAATTGATTTAATTTCTTTGTATTTTTTTTTTCGTTTCTGTTTTTATACCAAAAATAATACAATATGAATGCAAATGTTAAGACAACTGTAAAATTGAAGAAACTATTTTCGAGCATTTTTTGTTCTCTCCGAGTAGAATTAATGAGATCATTGAGGTATTCATTATAATAATCATTATTCTGCGAGCTACTAGTCGATCACATATTGCTTATTTCATAAAACAATTGTATATGCGTATAAATATATTGAGTTGACCAATATTAATGTTGGAAATTTTAGTAAAAAAAGTAGTTTTATTTATTTAAATATAAAATATTGTAGACATTGTCAATACATAAAAAGTATACATACATCCACGCTACAGTGTTATTTATTTAGAAATAAAATATTGTAAAATTCTGGCAATATTGGTCAAACCAATATACTTATATGTATGTATTAAATTGATCAATATTTTGTGGAAATATCGGTAATAGTTGAAATTCGTTGATAAAAATGTGTGCAATATTTTTTTACATATACGCGAGTGGATTGAAAAGTTTTCATTTAATTGATAATTTCTTTTCTGGCAAATTAACTTTTATTTTTAAAAATAATTTCAAAACTTTTCAACTCATCCTCGTATATATTTTTTATAGTTTCCCAATATTAAACATTTTTTTTTTACAAACGATTGCCTTGCCTAAAAGAGCCACCATTTTAGATTCTATCGCATGAAAGATGAAAGAGAGAGAATGCTTTTATTAATGTGTATGTATTTATCTTATATGTATGTATATGCAAAAATCTATCTTTGTTCTGTGTTCTTCGCAGAACACTGATTGGTTTACACGCGAAACAGTACGATTTCACAGAAAGTGAGACCATCTCCTTATTTTATTAACAAAAACCCAACTATCGTTTTCCTATAATCGATTTTCTTTCTTTGAAACTCATGTCAGTAATACATATGTACACCTTTCACATAGTTATTACATATTTAGTTTGGTACAACATGTCGAGTGTCTTTTCATATAAAATTAATGAAAACAAAAAATAATAGATAAAATAAAAAGTTAAAAAACATTAACTAAAATATACTATACGCATACACATACACACCACACACACGAGAAATAAGAAATTAAAGTTATTATTAAAAAACAATGCTAGTAAATTGATCTTAGGTATTACAGTATCTTATTAATTTCTTTTTCATAAATTAAATACAAAAGTTTATAAGATATACGCATATAATCATATAAAAAAATTATATTTAAAAAAGATATCAAATTCGCACGTATAAGAAATAAAAATAAATAAAGAAATGAACGATGATAATTATTATTTAGAAAAAAATGATTTCGAATGATATTTTTAAAGTTCCTTTAATTGTATAATAAATTTGATTTAAAAGAATGTAACATACTGTTGTTACGAATAAAATTAATCAAAAATAGAAGAAAAATATGGGACATAAGATAAAATTTATTAAATTGTTAGGAAAAAGATATAAATATATATTTTATGATTGATTATATTCGAATTTCTAACTTTCTATTTTGGATATAACGTGTTTAATTTAATTGTATATACATATATAAAACATTGGAGTGAGAGACGCCATTTAAAGAGAAAAAGAGAAAAAGAGAGAGAAAGAACGTTTTCGTGCGTTTCGTTTATTTCAAACAGTATGTGTTCCTCCACGTGCTGTTTTATTTATAAGTTTACGGGAGAGATATATATCTCTATTTTCGAAGTTTACCTTTAAAAAGCTTATTGGGGTCAATTTAATACGCAGCTCGGGTAAAATTTTGAATTAAAGTTTACATAAATACAAAAGAAGAATAACAAATATTTGAGATATTAAATACAAAAAACATTATTTAACGAAAAATAACTTTTAATACAGATAATTTTGTTTTGAGTTATACATATATATATATATATATATATATATATATATATATATATATATATTAAATTTATTATTATTATATTCTCATATTTAGTATATTGGATTAAAATAAATTTAACTTCCGTTAGAGTGTTTTGTTTCTCAGTCAGTTACACATTATTTTTTTTATTTTCATTAAACTTTACATTTGATATTGTTTCTATAACGATTTTTTATATTTTTTTCGTACCTTCATCTACTTGAAATCTAATATTTTTCTAATGTTTGAACTTTTATCGTTTGTTTATCGAATTGAGAATTTTTTATTATTTCTGTTTTTATTACAATAAAAACTATTACAAATTTCTGTATCCCCCCTATTGACTCTCAAAAAATTCAGTGTTTTATTGGTCAAAGATTGATTAGAAGATAAAAGAAAGGGTAGAATATAATATAATATTAATTGAATAGAAATTTCAAACATTTGACGGAGTTAAGAGACAGACCAAGAAATGTAATATTTTTCGAAAAATAAAAAATTATTTATTTATAAATTATATTTCACATAATTTATTAGATTTAAAGTTTGTCTTAAAAATGATACAGACTTCAATCGAATATGCGATGTATATAAATAAATGTTTCACATTTTTCAAGGTTATTCTGAAAACAATATGCGTAGTTTCTGTGTGTGTGTTTCGTTTAAACACGCTTAAGTTTATACGTGCTTATTTATCGGGTAATTTTCCATTTTATGATTCTTAACATAACTCTTTTCTCTTTTTTGCCTCTCTCTTTCTCTTTCTCTCTCTCTCTCTCTCTGCCTGTGTTTTAGTGCATACGTGTACTTTTATTTACCATAAACGAGACTTTTCATGTTTTGCAAAGTAATCAGAGTAAACTTTAATTAAGCTTCTTGTTTGTGCGGTAAAAGCAATATAGTCGACTTTTATTTTATGAAAAAGAAAGATTTTTGAATTATGACCGTGAACGTACAAATTCTCTCTCATATTTTCTCGTATTTTTGGAAATATTATAGTACGAGTAGTATTGGTAATAGTACTCCTTTCGTCGTTATTATTTATTGTTATTATTATTTATTATTATTGTGTTGTATTGTGTTAACCAATAAATAATATTGAAATTTTGAATAATTTATACTTAAATAAATTAATCTAGTATTTTACATAAATATTAAATAAATAATACATATATTTTTTATATTAAAATTTCTATCATTATTTATTGGCTAACACGATCTATTTATTTCTTTACACATACAATTGCGTTTTATTACGTTTGTATTATGTAGATTGTATAACAATATCTTGTTGTATTACAATAATAATAATTTATATCATGTTATTAATCGAAACGTTAGTATAGTAGACCATATACAGGTCATTGTTTGCATTAGAGTAAAAAAATTTGTCGATATCTATCGTGATAAAAAAAAAGGAAAGTGAAATGAAAACATCAAAACCATAAAAAAAATATATAAAATAAATAAATAAATAAAAATACTCGTCAGTGGTTTATTACAAATGTTTAGCAACATGACTAACAAAATAATTCAACAAACCGTTTATTTTCAAAACATTACGAGTTCCGTTTGAACATTTCAACGCAATAACACATGTGCATATGTGCGCGTGTGGCGGGTTTATGTGTCACAGCGCATTTCACATAAAAATAATAGATTTGATCTCCCGAGGGTAAATAGAAATTTCATCTCACGATGACGACCATGATGATATCATGAATCGTAAAATCTTATCGCATATATGGCATTCAGTAGTTTCGTGGCTCTAAAAAAAAAAATTAAACATAAAATAAACGAAAGACAAAAATAGAAAATAATAATATATCCTTTTAGCTCGTATAAATTTAACTAAATTTAGTTAAAATATTTTTTAAATCTTTTAAAAATATTTATTATTGTTATAAATGATGAAATAAATTAGTTGCATATCATCAGGGCTTCTCAAACTTTTCCATTTGGCGATCCTTTTTATCCGAGCAAATATTTCCGTAATCCTGAATATGGATTCAATGTTATCTTATCTTTCATTAGCATAAACTTATAGACGTACTATACATGCAGAATTGACATTAATTAACATTAATTTTTTGTTATTGCGCATATAACAATTTTTTAGTTTTTTTACAATTTCAAATTTAGTTGCTCGACCTCGAATGGTATCGTGACCCACACTTTGAAAAACCTTGTTATATATAGTAGATTAGGTATTTTTAACTTAATAGGTATACAAATTATCTATATATATTATTTGAAATATTTTCAACGGAATTAGTTTTAAAAAAGAACAACAACAAATATATATTTATATAACGACGAGTATTTTTGTTTATTTTTAGTTTATGTGTATGAAATTTAATATTTAATATTTATATAAAACTATATTCATATAAAAAACGAAAAAAAGTCTCGTTTTACCTTGAATCGAGCGATACAAGATCACAATCTGCTTTTATTGATTAACTTTGCTTTGCTTGAATGTAATTTCATTTTCTTTTTCTCTTTTTCTTTTTCTTTTCATTATATTTACTTTTTCTGTTCTTCTTTATTTTTCGTCTCGTCTGAATTCATTGATATGCTTTAACACACTCGCTATTTTTTTTGTATTTTTGCACAATCTCAAATAGTAATAAAGAAATAACTTTAGAATAATATCGATTACTACATAATAGATATCCGCTTATTTAACATAATTTACACATATATACATACAGGATTGAATTTATTATTAATTAGTTTTTGATTTATTTATTATTTTATTGAGATTGTGATCTTAACATAAATCATGTGTTTAATTAATAATTTGAAAAGAAAACATATAAAAAGGTGTTCTTCCTTTAATTTTTTAATTAAAAAAAAAAAAGAATTTATAATTTAAACACGTTCTTTCTGAACTCGTACATTATAATTTAACGCATGCATAAATGTATGTATAAATGTCGACACATGCACAAACATACAAAGAGTGGATAAATATTTATGTATGCAACATGGAGACACATGCGCGTGCGAACAGAAGCTATGTTTCTTAAAGCATAAAAAAAGCGTCTCGTAAAATTATGTTACTAAAAATTTGAAAAAAGATTAAAGGAAGACATTTTTAGTTTTTAATTATTAACCCCTTAAGCAGCATTGATTTTGAAAAAGAAAACGGCCAAAAAAAATCTTTTTTTTTCATAAAAACATAGTTTAGAACATTGTTTTGACAAAAAAATTAAATAAATACAGAAATAATCAATATTATTATGTAAATTTTGGATTTTGTTCCACATTGCAGAGAAGAACCGAATATTGCAACCTTACACATATGTCGACTTTTTAATCTTTTTTTTCGAATTACTATTTCGGAAAAAAAGTATTCTTTTTCTTTGCTTTCACATTCTTATTTTCAATTTTTTATTATATTTGAGCGTAAAAAATCATAGAAATATAAAATAATAAGCCGCTCGAGTTAACTCGAGCGTGCTACTTAAGGGGTTAAATTCCATCTTGTATGTATATAATCATTTTAGTATTGTTGCTATTGTTGTTGGGTGTTGTTGTTATTGTTATTGTTATGGTTATGACAAATAAGCAATATAACTCATCTTTTTTTATTTTGTATTTCCTTCTTTTACTTTTTCGTCTTCCTCGTTTCGACAATAAAGAAAGTAATACTAACACACACAATTAATAAAAGAAATAAAATATATTTTTAACACATTGCAAGTGGAATTTTTGGTTTTTATTCTTTTTTGTTGTTAATTTTTTATGTACTAATTTATTTGTCTTTTCTTTTTTTTCCAATTTTGTTTCCCTGCATATGACGAAGATAACGTTGAGTCGTACCGTGACGTAAACAATTTACGTATGTTTATCGACTTATCGTTTATAGCAATTAATTTTTATTGGTTCATATTTTTTACAAGATGATGACGTCTAATAGTCATCGCTTGTAACTTTTACCACGTCATCTTTCTTAATTCATTATTTAATAAACATGACGTGTATCGGTCATGAGGAAATATTGTTAACATTTCTTGTTTTCTTTTTTTTCTTTTCTTTTTTTTTTTTGAAATGCATTGATGCATGAAATTCGATAATATGTATGTATATACGTTTTGCAAATAAATGATGTTTGAACATATGCAAAATTTGTAAAAGGTACAAATAAATTTATTTTGATATTCTTGTATTCGATCAATGATCGATGATCGATCGTGGTTCGATAAATAGACAATTGAGAGCTCATGTAAAATCGTTCACGATAATAAATATCATATATCTTATGATAACATTGATTATATATATAATCGTGTATATCGTGTATGTATACACGATCAAGTTTTACGTATTTACTTACGTGTGAATAATACAAGATAATGCGTAGAAATATTAGAAAAATTATTAAACGATATTTGAGAATGGGTCGTTTAATTATCGATCATATTTTTCTTATCTGATAAATAAATGTCAATGTCGTCCTTTGGCATTAATTAATCTCGCATGAACTCTTTTTCTTCTTTTTCTTCAATTTTTTTTCTTTTTTTATAAATTAATTGACATATCCATCTTTTTCGAAAAATATTATGTGTATTAATAATTTGTCGATCCAGGGAAAAGAAAAAAAAAATTAGAAATGCACTACATGAAAATATTTTAATTTTTTCTTACCCAGTTTCTCAATAGATCCTTAATCATCATTACCATCATCATTATCGTAATTATCATCGTTATTTTCGTTTCATTAATGCATTAATTTAAGAAGCTATTCCTTTTTTTTAATAAACTTTGCATATAAAATATTCGAATATTGTAAAATGTATTGTTATAATAGTTGTTATTAAATTTATTAATTTATTATTATATTTAAAATTGATAATAATTAATAATATATATATTATTTATCAATCAATTATCAATATAAAAGATTAAATGTTAAACTAACACTTTGGTAATAAAAGTGGAAAACATTCAAAACATTGAATTACTTCCGGCTTCAATTTATGATTGATTTTTCATTTGATGATTAAGAGATAACAAAAAAATCGCAATAGATCAGTTAATCAAAAACAGACGAAAATGATAACTTATATAAAAATTTTTCAGCTCGTTGCTTATAGTGTACGAAGGATATCAAATAGAAGAATTTACAACGCACAGACATTCAACTTCTCTTCACGTTGAGGAAGAATCTAATGACCTAAGTTTCATGGAAAATACACCAGGTGGTTCGGATACGTGTTACGACGCAGATACAAGCAATAATTCAACGGATTATAATCTTTCAGCACAGGAAGAAGTAAGCCAGGCAGCATTGCACCGTGGTTTTGGTGAGGCTGCAGCTAGAGGTGCTAAAAATACAACAGCATTTTATCCAGTTAACGAAGAAACCGTATTTATGGATCCCCCACCGAGTTTGATCAATACGGTGGTTCAATCCCCGTCTTATGACAATTGGATGTTGTATAGTAGTAGTAGTGGAGAAGAATATTGTTTTGGCCAACATATAGCTGCTAATTCGGAGGACACTAGTTCAGATATGGACATTAGAAGTGAGTGCGGATTGAAACGTAACAGGCACAAACTCCGTTTACGTTCTTACGATGATGAAAGACAAGATCAAGATGAATTAAAGGCAAACAGTATTTCGAAAAGATTCCGAGTTAAAACTGAACAATCTTCTTCAACGTCGGTTGTTCAAGAAGCTATGGTAGATGTCAGAATAATAGATTTTGCACATACTACCTTTGGACGCAGTAGTTTAGCATTGGCATGTAATTCTAGCTCTATGGTTCATCAGGGTCCTGACTGTGGTTTTCTAACTGGTTTGGATAGCTTAAAACGATTATTAATGGAAATATTGACAGAAGGTTAAGGACTAACTTTTTCTATAACGATATGACTATTGTTATGGCTATTAAAAGTAAATAAATAAAGGACATGTATATGTACCAGAGAAAATAAGAACTCTCTTTTATCAATAACAAGAAGAAAAAGAAATAAGATTTAAAGAAATGCAAGATGATTGCTATTTATTTTTGGACACTTTCAGAAAGAAAATTATATGAGTGATCGTCGTTTTCGAAGCAACGGTGAAAGGGTGAAAAAGAAAAAACGCAGAAACTTACGAATAAGAAAGCGTGAGTGAAATTAATAAGGTAATAAATTAAATAATAACAAAAAAATATATATAATTATAATATATATTTAAAAAAAAAAATAAAATAAATAAATAAAAAGTAAAAAAGGGAAAGAACGAAGATAGAATTCTTCCGAGAGAAGCGTAGAGTTCAACTAGAGATTAGAGCGTGTATATATATAATTTCTAAAAAAAAAAAACTAAAACGAAAAAAAGAAAAAGAAAGAAACACATTTTCGAGAATTTGTGAATGTATTTTGTAAGAAATTATATATAATTTAATCCGCGTGGTTTCTTTTCTCTCTCTATATAAATATAAATTACTTTCAAGTATTTTGTATATATATATATACAATATATATATACAATATATATGTATGTATGTATGTATGTATGTATGTATGTATGTATGTATGCATGTATGTATGTATACATAAATTACATACCAGAAAAGGCGTGTGTAAAAAGAATGATGAGTTTAATGATTACAAATGTAGATATAGTCGATGAGAAAAGATGCTCCTGCCAATTTACTTACACATTGTGACTGAAACAATATATATACACACATTGTATATCTTTTAGATTCATTTCGTTAAAATCGGTGATTTTATATACACATGTCATTCGTACATACACACGTAAGGTAGTATAATTTAAAAAAAAGAGTAAAAAATTAAAAAAATTATATATATATACATTATATAGACTTATTAGAAGTGATTTCTAAAATATTTAATTTGACGATGACTTATTGACAAGCTGATGAAAGCATTCTCGCAAATATTTAGAAATAAAGCATTGCGAGATTACACTTTGCTCATTCCTAATATATTTTAATTCGTTCTCGGCTTTCGCTTGAACGTAAAGTGTTCTATTATATATGATTAGTTTAATTTTATTTTATTTTAGTTTTTTCAAGTATACATACTATACATATACATAGAAAAAGAAGACATTTACTGTGTCATCGTTTAGATGTATAAACCAGTGATTTATATAATTTCCTTTTTCCAATGAGTGTGTATATGTGAGTGCGTGTCTGTGTGTGAGTATTTCTTCTTCGAAAATTTAGAGCATAATTTTTTCTTTTCAAAAATTACGAATTTTATTGACAATATTATTTTTATTATATATATAGGGTAGTCCACGCAACGTGTGAACCGTTTTAACTTCCAAAATATTCGTTGCACGAAAGAATGTTATGTACAAAAGTTACATGGTTTAAAAGGGTACATAATGTAGTGCGTTAATTTTTTTTATAGGTGGAGTTTTGGAGATTTGAAGGTCAACTTTGTTTTTAACAGAATAATATATTTTTTATACCAAAATATGGTAGAGTATCGAATTGTAAGTAAAAACGTGCAAACCGTTATTAGCCCTAAATTTAATAACTAACAAGTAATTTCACTTTATTACTTGAAAATTTTCTTCACGTAATATCAAGTTGGAGATTCAACCTTATTACAGATTTCTGTAGGACAGTGATGTTTACATGACATTGTTTATCAACACAACATCTATCATGATTCACAATCTTTTACATGTTCGTAATCCAGTATTGAAGTTATCTTCTGTTGTGTGTAATTACCAGGCAGATAAAAGTAAAAATGAAATTTTATAAAAGCGAAAAGGTTGAATATCTGTTAGTTTATGGTGAGTGCCATAAAAATGCAATACGAGTCAAAGCCATATATGCCAAAAGGTATAAGTTATAACGGTGCACACGTTGCGTGATCACCCTGTATGTGTATATATATTACTATTGTGAAGTGTCCAATTCAGTTAACTTATGAAATGACTAGATATTACATGAAATGACTAGATGTGGGAGAGCATCAAAATAATTTTATTATATATTTTAATTAGTTGTATCACGAAGTAACTAGATATTTTATAAAAATAACAATAGATTTCTAATTATTAACGTCATTGTTTCGATCTTGTTAGCAGAAAATTACTTATTTTAGAACATTTGACTTTTCTTAAACACTGACCAAAAAAGCTTTCAATTTTTCAGCGAATATTTTCTTGCCTTCTGCGAATTCATATATTACCTAGTTGAAATATGCAATTCTGCTTTGTTTCATATTTTACTGCTTTGATTAGTATAGTTGTTTCGTCTAATAATTAGTTATTTCATGAATAAACGGATTTTGCAAAATAATGGTGATAACATACATATATGTATGTACATCATGTTATAAATATATTTAGAAAAATTAAATTATATATAATTAGTTCAATGTAACATGTAGTATATTAAGTTATCAATAATCTCTCCTTTTCTTGCAAATGTATCAAGAAGCTCGTTTCGTTATTATTTTTGTCATTTCAAAAAAAGAAAGATATATATATATATAGATATTCAGACTATATCGATCATTATAAAATTAATACAGTATTACAACACGAGGACAAAAAAATAATTTTTATTCTTAAGACAAGAATTTTAACGTCAAAATGTTTGTTGTGTGGGCATTAGAGAAAAAAAAGAGTATACGGACTTTCTTTAAAAAAAAAAAAAGAATAAATTTAATTGTTTCAAAGTACAACATTTTATGGACTATATTTCTGATATACATATATATGTATATATTTTATAATTTAATCGCACATGACATAGATGCATTATGATACACTGCTATTTTCAAAAAATAGTCCACGACATTGATATGATATTTGTTGTTGAAAATTAGTATATAAGTAGTGTAAATATTGTAAAAGTTTGTCTTATACATATATATGTATATATAATATGCCGTTAATTATGAGAACAGACAAGTTAAAAAATGGAAAAAATTAATTTTACGATTTTTTTATATTATTAAAAATTGTTATGTAGAATAAATCATAAAATTAATGATTTTTATTTTTTAATTTAGTCTCTACCGTAATTAATGGCATATATATACATATATATATATATATTAAAAATAATCGTTATAACACATTCTTCCTCTAATTTCCATAATCTATATGGAATGTACATTTCATATATAACTGTGTATAATGGCGATTAAAAAAGAAAAAAAAAACAAAAAATAGAAGCATTATGCAAGGCAAAAAATATTTCATAGTAGAAAAGCAATTTATTTACCTGACCGTATATAGGCTAGCGACCTAAATAAATAAAAATAAAAAAATAAAAAAATAAAAAAATAAAAAAAAATAACAATAATACAAAATATGTATTACATACTTAACACAAAATTAATTAAAAAATACAAGAAAAAGCAAAAAAAAGTTATGTACAAAAGAGAAATGTACCATTCAATAATATATATGAAAATTAAATGTATACATCGTATATGTATACATTATCTTTTAATGCTAGTATTCACTAGCATGAATTATTACAAATTCCTGTGTATCATGTGAGAATTTACATCTTTTAAATTAGTATAAATAAGAAATTTAAGACTATATAGCAATATTCTGATATAATGTACACTAGGAATTTCATGTCTCTTTGTCCAGAAAATAAATTAATTTTATGATATATTTGTGAGTCCTTTTACATATAACATATATTATCTTACTCGTTATTCTTCCATTTGTTTATGATTAAATCTTTATTTTTCTAATTAATAATATGGAGAATATAACATCATGAATTTTTTATTTCATTATAAATACAAGTGATATACAACAAATTGTAAACACTGCAATAAACTATACAACAGATGCTTATACTACTAATATCAATATTATTTCGTTTATAGATTTGATTATTTGACTTAGGAGTAATAGTATTATTATTACATCCTTTGTGATATAACTTTGGCGAAGCACTTAGTTGTTGGTATTTTTTGGTTTCTTCCTTTCTTTTTTTATAAAATATGTTGTAAACGATAAGTGAACAATGTGATTCGGATGAACATTATATATGATTTAATAATAACAGTACGTACGATCTGTGTGTATATTCTGTTAAAATGTAACATAACAATTATATATACATACAGTTAACAAGATCATTTATCCCGATATATACTTTTCGTGTCCACACTATAATAAATTAACACAAAAAATAATTCATCATGAGATTCGTTTTAAGTAGATATATATGAAATACATATTTAGAATTTCATATATATCTATTTAATTATATATATGAGAAACGCGTATTTTTACAACCATTACATTGTTTATATGTTGATTACTTAAATAAGAAGATTATTGTATGACTGACATTGTCTCTTTTCTTTTCATTTTTTTTTAATTATTTTAATTGATTATGTTCAATACGTCTCGTTGTACGATTTATTATGTTAAGCGTTGAAAATTTTTGGAAAATACAATAAATATGCTGAAATCTAATTGGGTTTAATTAAATTTTTGAATAAATCATAACTATTTCCATCCGGTTGAACCGAAAATGTATTTCCTTTGATTCCTCGTACTTTTAAAAATCCATATTCATCGATACCTAATATTTTAACTAATTCACTATCTCCGTTAGTCGATATAACTGTTACTTCCGCGTCACTAAAAATGAAAAAAATAAAGGATACAGATTTACTAATATAATAAATATAAAACTAATAAATATCTAATTATTTATATTATTATTTTCTTTTGCGCTATTTAGATCATTATATTATACTAACTTGTGTAACCAAAGTTTATAATAAAGTTGGAAGAAATAATCCATATTTCCACTTTGTACAATATCTAACAGATGTTCTATTTCACTGAATACCAAAGCAAAGTAACGCTCATATGATAAAGCTGGCAATTGTGTTTTATGGATTTTGTTATATTCGGCAATGAGATCGTTGATACAGCAGGTAGGTGCACTATTTGAAAGATTAACACCAACGCCTGGAAACAATTGTATTTCGTACCTGACATTAACTTAATTATTTCTAATTCTTTATCAGAATGTATTATATAATATATAAGAAAATAAATATAACAAATTTTGTTTCAAATAATTATATTAATACTTACCAGCATTGCATATGATTAATGACGAATCATAGTGACTGGTAACTATAATACCACCAATTTTAGTCGATTTTCCAACGTAAATGTCATTAGGCCATTTTACTCTAAGGTCTAATCCCTAGTTTAAAAAAATATTTATACAAACATATATATGTATAAATTATTTGTAAATCTAATAAATCAATTGTAAATAATATGAATAAAGAAATGAATAAAAAGAAAGAAAAGAAAAAACCTCGTATCCAGGTACAGATGTTACAGCTGATACGATTCCAACTATAAAAAGATGTTGAAGTATTGAAATATGACTACCGAGATTGGAATCTTTGGGAATGTGAAGTTGTACTGTAAACATCGCACAACCTTTAGGACTAAGCCATACATTTTTATTTCTTCCTAATGAGAACAAAAATATTCATACTATTCATTGATAATAACATACTTGAATAAATAAATATTCATTTACCTCGTCCTTGAGTTTGTTGGCAAGGAATAACGACCAATCCATGTTGTATTTTATGATCATTTACAACATTCATCGATGATGTCAATACATCTGCATATATCACCAGTCGCCCTACATATTTTGTTTTCAAATTCTAAGAGAAAGAATTTGATATAATAAAAGTAATATTTTATATGAAATTTGTTATAAATGGAACTCAAAGTATTACCTCGAAGTATTCAATGGTAGAAAAATTATCAGGACATTGATGTATCATAACAGGGAGAAATGAAGACGATGCTGATTTTTCGATATTTGTCTTGCAAAATTGTATTTCTAAATTTTTCGTTTTCAATATATCATCCTGCATTTTTTCTTTTAACTTTTCCAGAACTTCTAATTTTAACTATTAAAATTGAATATGAATATATGAATGAATTATAAATTAAAATATAATTTCATTGTCTTATGCGATTTCTTTCATAGATTTAAAATTAAAATTAAGTTAAAAAGATAAATACCTCATGTCTACCTAAGAAAAAGGCTGGAGTATAATGCACTGATGTTTTTTTCGTGGATGTGCTTACTTCTATGCCTAGATGTACACTTAGCAGATCATTAAATATTTCTAAGCGTGCTAGATTACTTTGTTTAAGAGCATTAAACTTATTTTCTTCGAACTCGTATTGTGCTGGATCTGCCTCTAAATGTATTTGTGAAAATACAGCCTTACCATTGCTATCAGTTAAATTAGCAAGTAAGATACTAGGAGTATGCCATGTTTCTTCTGTTCCTAATACTTTTATCCCAAAGGAATGTAACCTGCCTTTTTTATCCTTCACTGTAGCTGATACAGGAGGATTCACAGCTGTTACGCTAAAAATATCTTTTAATAAAATGATATCAAATATTTCTATGTCAAGTTATTGTCATCGTTTAATGGAATTCTTACTTTATATCTTCATTGTCATGAGAAAATCGAGTTCTTACTGGTGATGCTTGATAGCAGAAAATATGATGCATCATGCGAACATGTTTCCATTTTCCATAAGAGAAATGAACAAGTTCGTGTTCACGAACCTCAGCTGTTTTAAAAGATGGAAGTAAAGTATGAAGTGTATCGGAACATAATGCTAGAAGTTTTCCACCTTGAACAATATATTCTATAAGCTGAGTACTTATTTCAGTACCAACATTTCCACATACAACGACAAGAGCTGCTTGTTCCATCCATACATCAGAACATGCTTCTTCGCGAGATAACACATATAATATATATCTAAAAGAAAAAATGAATTATACAATTATATTAATTTAAGATTATTTTTTAATTTATTATAATTTATTATCATAATACTTGTCAGTGCCAAGTGAATCTTCTAATACAGCTTTAACATTATCAAGTGACACAGCACTTTCTGCATAAATTAAAACATTAGGTGGTTTGTGATGTTTAGAATATGGCGTAATTGTTCTTTTTGGAGTAACACTTCTAAAATTATATATAAATAATTAATATATATACGGAATGATGACTATGTATTATGAAACTTACTTTAAATTGAGAGAAGGTACTGCTTCAATTGTTTTTGTACTATTATCTTGATCATCAGATGCAGATACTGGCTTAACGATATTTTCACAAGTTTCTTTTACCTCATCCTTATCTAATGTTTCTTTTATAATATCAGATTTAATTGAAGATACAAGAGTTGATTCAGGTACATCGTGAAACGTTGACACATCAGAATTCTCCAAATTACTAACATTTTCTGATTGCATAGTTTCAACCATCTCTGAATTTATAGAAACTGGACTCTCAACAGATGATTGTAACGTTGTAACTAAATTTTCAATCGTATTATTAGCTTCTGTTTTTTCATCTGTAGATGTTTGTATATTTGTGGATTCATTTTTAGGAAAGATAAATAAATCTGGCATTTCGGGTACACCTATTGATTTATTTTCTTGTGATGCTAATCGTGCAGTATTACTTATTAGTCTTAGTTTTTTCACATACGTTTCCCATTCTTCTACTCCTGTTAATTCTATATTATTGTAATATATATATAAATGTATATTTATTCTATAAATTTTTAATTCATATAAATTAGTAACTAATATTCTGTAACTTACTATTATCCGACAGTGAATAAAGTTGTTCACTATGATAAGTACATGGATACCCTGATACTAAAACAGCTGAAGAATATATAATTTGTTTTTAATAACAATTTAATAACATATAAAATATTTACATATTTAATGACGTAGTATTCACTTACACAATATACGTGTTAAAGTTAAACCACTGTTGATATAATATTGTCCTTCCATAACAGCAATTGCAAATTTAGTTATAAGATCTAAATCAGTCTCCATAATAATATTTAAATTTTTATCTGCCATCCAACTAATAATTAAACCATAATCTTCTAGCTAAAACACAAACACATATAATTTAAGACGAAATAATGAAATGAAATTGTTCATTTAAACTAATAACTATTTAAAATTACATTACCTTAGTTGATTTTGTGGAAATGTATGGTTCGTACGTACTAAAGTCAGCCTCAACTAAAATATGCATTCTAAAATCTTTAGTTAATGATGTTATACCATTATTTTGTTTAAATATAGGTATAAAAGGATTTTCATATTGATAAGATAACCATTCGGAAATGTTAATTTTTTGCTAGAATATAAAACAATTGGCATAATTTAAAAATATTATTTATCAATAATATATTTTCTGAAGTTTTTATTATTAATTTGATAAATACTTGTGGATATATGGTGCATAATCTTGCATCACCATGACTCCAAAGTAAATCACCAAGTTTTGCAAGTGATTTATTTTGACAAAGATGAGAACTCATAAAATTATATATGTTTTCATTTCCACTACTTGGAGGGCTAGCTAGATTATCATATTCTGAAAATAATAACTAAGTGAGATTTTCATTATACTGTAAGATATATATAAATATACTATATTTTTTTAAGAAAATACAAATATATCTTCCATCCCTTAATAGAGATTTTAAGCGTAGTTTCAGCCTACTGATAGACAACCAGCCATACAGAAATTATAATTCTTATTCTATAACAATGTTTCTCAATGTAAGGACTAACAAATGAATAAATGTCCTTACAATTAAATTTCGTTAAATGAATACAAATGTTATATTTTCATATTGGTTATTTTATATTTTATTTCATTTTTTTCTATTTTATTTAAATAATCATATACAACACACATTGATTTCCTATCATACTTCTTTTTTTATCCCTTATCTTTTTAGTATTTATTTTATTTTATAAACGTTGTTATATAAAATAATGTAATTTAATATAAATTGCATAAACATTGTAAAAATAATTTGAAAAAATACATCTATATAAATAGTATGTAATATATTTATGTGTACCTTCGTCAACGCATACTAATGGTTTGGCATAGAACATAATTGATGGTTTATCGTGCTTTGTTCCTTGAAATAAAGCACATAAACGTGTTTTTAGAGATGAGATTCTCCATGTCTGAATTGTCGTTGCTATCATATATAAAAATGTTAATAGCATCTTTGTGTAGAATAGTATCCTATTTGATAGAACGCTCTTGCATAAATACCTGTATACATAATCCTTATTGAAAGACAATCAATGTATTTATATTTATATATATGTATATATGTATCATTCACATTGTAGTTTTATAATAATTTTATTTCTTATTTATTAAACATTATTTAATAAGAATATTAAAAATTAATATAAAATCTTTGCGATGATATTAAGTCGTCAGAAATAATTTTCAATTTATCATTTTACGTAGAGCATTATATTTTTATACTGAAAAATAAGTAACTTAAAAATCAGTGAGTATTGCAAATCAATTATTATTATTATTAATTGGCATTAGGAACTCGAAAGTTCATTGCCGCAAATAATAGCAAATCAATAATAATAATAAAATAATAATGATACTATTAGTGTAATATATATAATACATAATTTTGTATTTATTAATTTTATAGTAATTTTTTATTAACGAGATAATTATAATAATAAATATTATTGAGATAAATAATTGAATGTCAATGTATATTAAAAAATAAATATGTATGAATAAAAATAGAAGTGTAGTGAGCTAAAAAGGAATGAATTAAGTAGAAAAGATAAATATTTTTCAAGCATTTTTTAAACCTTTCTTATCTGTAATACATGTTTGTTTACGTTACTGATAAAAAAAAGGAAAATAAATGGCGGTAGATTTTTTGATTTACATCTATAGATTAGAATATTATTTATCGGTATAGTAACTGTATTACAATTATTTTGTATTTATGAGTTGTAAGGATAAACATAAAAAAAAAAAAAAAAAAATAGAAAATAAAAATAAAATAAAAGAAGTACGGCGACAATTATCGAGACCACGTGTGTAATCGTTTGATAAATTATTACTTACTGGACACAGAGAGCACAAAAATCTTTAACTTCTGTTAGATCAAGATAACAGTAAATTACATGTAATGAATGAACGATAAAAATAAAGGAGACGTAATAATATTAGCGATGTTACACTACGAGATGATTATTTGATAAATCCTACCAAATGTTTTAATGGTTAATTCTGCGAACTGTAAATTTGTTTGGTCATACTGACAGAAGACGAATTTGAGGCCATTTGCATTATTTCTTCCTTGCTATTGGTCATTCGATTCGCTGCTAGTATTGCCATCTAGTTAAAATGAAAAATCCTTTTAAAATATTGTAAACTTCTTCATATGTTTTTAAATATTAAATATTATATACATATTAAGATTAAGATGTATATATTTTAATTTATCTATCTACTAATGATATATTTATTGGGAATATTAAAAAAATATTTATTTATTGTTACTGAATTTTTTATTTGTCAATATTTTAAGTTCAATTTTCCTGTATATAAGTTAGAATAAATTTCCTTATTGACTGATGTATTTTATTAATTTAAAAAAAAGCATATATTTAATATTATTGAATTTTTCTAATTAAGTTATAGTTATTATATTTCATAAATTATTAATAGTCAACAGTAGCAAATTTGTTTTATTTTAAATTGGAATTTGAAAAAAGGCGCCATTTTAAAATCGGCGCCTAATTCGATGCGCAGTAATCGATTCCGACTGTAGAACATAACAGGTGTCAAAACGAGGTTGATTGGATGTTCATCAGCGGTTTTTTAGATTTATTTTAATAAATAAAAGACAATATACATGCATTAAAATATATATATTTTTAATTAATTATTACCATGTTTACATTAGGATCACGTAACAACAAAATTTTAACCAAGATGGGTTAAATGTTGATGAAAGTAAAGATTGTCAAGAAAATACACTTGACAATTTTATTACTTGACTACATTGTAAACATATACAAAATGATTATTCTTTATATTTTGTGCACAATCTTCAGCGTTTTGACCATTCTTTATTGGAATGGGATGTTATGGTGCTGTTTCTATGGATTATTAACTATATTTTGTCTCCTTATTGGCCCTTTAGTGGTTATGTTAATAAATATAGCATTATCATCAAAGCATCAAACAGGTGTTGGCACTGTTAAAACTCTTGCTGAGATGGATGCTTTTCATAATTTATTGATGGTACGTTATTTAATTAAATAAAACTATGATTATATTAAATGTAATATAATAGTTATTTATTTACATTTTATTACAAGTAATATGTGTATTTATTTTGTTTTTCATTGTAGAAGGGCTATGAAGCCAAATTATCAAATGTTAAAAAGCAATCTCGCTATCCAATGATCTTTAGTCGTTTAGTTGATGGAGCTTTACAGAATCTCTTGGATTTAGTATTTCAAGATTTTATTGGTTGTTGGCTTAATGATTTAGCATTTAATTCAGATCAGATATTAGAAAATATGAAACAAGATGTATGGGGTGCTATACAGAGTCTCCATGATCGATTGTTAAGAGTCGATCATACTAAGCTAGTAGTGTTTAATATAGTCAATAAAGTAACTTTCCATTTTGAAAAAATTAGAATTGCACAGGAAGCTTCGTGAGTATCTATTCACTTATTTTCAAAGTGCAACACTTAATCCTGAGGTAATAATTTATATTATTTCAGATCAATCGGTGAAGAACCTGTTTTCATTTTATCATCACATTTGATGTCACCTACAGCGGAATTGGAGTATTTAAGAAAAGTTAGTGAATTATATATATTGTTTCTATTGCCACGCAGTTACTCTCTTTCCCCAGCAAAATTTCTCTTGAGGGAGGTTCTTACATGTAAAAGTGGGTGCATTCTAAAACATAATATCTATATACAAAATGTTGTAGAGTAATGAAAATATGTTTTTTCTATATTATTGTTTCAGTATTGAAACCAGCGATAGATCTTATAACCGATCCTGATTATATCAATCAAAAGATATTGTTGTATATTGAACAGCAGCAACTTACAGCTGCTATGCATAAAAAAACATACGAGTATGCAGAATCATTTGAAGATTTTCTTCGTATGATTAAAAGTTCTCGGGATTTAGAGGTTCTTAAGCATATTAGGTTAAATATTGTAATAGAAATTATGCAAGCTACAACGGTACAAAATGTAAAAAGGGCACAGGGTTTGGATCCTGATCATAATGCATTTGGAAAGTCTGATTTAAATGAAGCAAGAAAATTAAAAAGATATATTAGTCAATTGACCTATGCAAAAAATACTTGTGAATGTCATATGCAGTCGTTAGGATGGGATGGCTATCCTGTACAAGTTAGTTCTTTTTTTTTTTTAAATAAAATTCACTCTTATTCCTAATGTAATTGAAAATCACATTAGCTATAATTTAATATTTTTTAGGATAGTGGCCCAACAGCATTGATGGATGAAAGAAGAGTATTATCTTTACAAACAATTTTAGATAACATCATAGGTCGTAAATATTTATCTCAATTTTTAGAACAAGTCTCAAGTCAAGGATTGATCGGATATTGGGCTGCTGTACAGGAATTGAGATCTGCCAATAGATCTAATTGGCATCAGCTTGGAGCTGAAATTTTTTATACGTATATTAGATCACCGACTGCCGAAATAAAAGTTGATAAAATTATAAGAAAAAGAATGGAAAGTTTCTTATTAGGGGATAATGGACCAACTGTGTTTTATGAAGTCCAAGAAAGCGTAGTTAAAACGATAGAAGAAAAATATTATTCATCATTTTTGGTCAGTGAACAATATAAAAAAATGCAAGAGGAATTGTTAAATGCGAGAGCGGATGGTAAGTACATTGAATCATTAAATATATATTTTTAATTAATAATGCAACCCATTGTTGTCACTAATATATTTTCTTCATGACACTTTTTATACGAGCTTTTTTAATACAAATTAGAGTTTTAAGTATAGCATTTAAACGTTACTTCGGTGGTGATCTATTAAGTTAGAGAGAGAAAAATTAATTTCATTTTTCTCTCAAGCTTTTCTATTAAAAGCTTTAACTAAATAAAAGATCCCTTATATATCTACTGATGTATCTACATTATTACAGACCACTATAAATATATATTTCTTTACTTAAAGTATGTCAGTTGACTAAATTGATGAGTGTGTTTTTTTTATTAAACACATTGTAGTCATTAAAGTATATATATATATGTACAAACACATACATACAAACTGCGCTTCTTCAAATACACATATATCTTGACCAGGTAATCGAGTAACGGAAAATTGAGGGCAAATATGTAACCCGCTAAGTCTCTTTTAAACGATCGATATTTCATTAAAGTGTATAATATGGGAGCATATTTTTTTTTCTTTATTTTTCTCTTTAATATCTTTAATATCAGTTTACGTTTTGCAAATATAAAATTTTCGGTGTGTTATTTACATATATACATCCAATAAATTATTTTAAAAGAAAAATTTCATTCGATCTATACTTAAAACATAAAACCAAAATAATAAAAATTAATAACAACATTAATAATCAAAATCATTGTACCGTTACTTGATAGTTTTTTTTTAATTTCCACTTTGCATACAAAATTCGTACTCTTTATACGTATATAAATATATAATTTTTAGAATCTTAGGATAGTTTTGCTTTATTGTTATTCTAATTATTTGAATACGTTTAATAATTAATTCATGTCGCTTTCATTAGATTATTATGAAATATTAACTTATCGCGCACACACACGCATAAATTAGACGCGCGCGCGCGCACGTTTATCAGCTAATACGTAATAATGGAAAAAATCAATTTTTTCATTTTGAAATAAAATTAATTTTTCCTTATCTATTATCTATCGCGCTATCAAGTGTTTAAATTGTTGAAACATTAGGGTTGGTGGAGGATCAACAAACGGTCGAAGGAGCTTTATCTGAAAATTCATCATTGCTTGTCGGAGAACATTCCAATTATGCACGTAGTAAATTGGACCAATTACAAGAGAAGCTGAATAATAAAATGCAAGCTTTGCAAGCACTTAAATCTTCTCTTAAGCCCGAAAGCAGAGTTTTAAGTATTCTGGGAAAGGAAGTTGAATGGTTGCAAGGTGAAAAAAGACAACTAGAAGCTCACTTGAGTCATTCTGAAATGTGGGTTGAACACTTGGGTCGATGGAAAGCTGATGTACAAAGTGCAGATGTATGTTTATTTCATTATTTATAATACAAGCTAGATAAATTATGCGTGTTATACGCTACGTGTTTGAGAATGATATGATACTTATATTTCTCAGAAATTTTTAGGTCTCGGTTCTAAATATGTTCTATATAAAACTTGAAATATATACAAGATATATGCATACATATTTATAAAAAAAAAAAAAAAAATGAAAGAAAATATATTTATATTCTTTGAAAAATTTTAGGTCTAAATTCTTATGTAAGACGAATTGTCTTACATAAAAGAAAGAATATATACAAGAGATATACATACATATTTAAGAAAAATAAAAACTAGAAATTAAGAAAATAAAAATTTTATATGCATACACACAAAAAATGACAATACTATCTTGCTTTATTTTATTTACTATATTTATGATTGAACGGCTTTCATACGCTTTTTGCAAATTCGCAAAATGCCCGTAGAAGTTCGCGAGCACGTCTTTATATTGTTTTTAATTCATTTTCTTTCTCTCTCTTTTTCTTTCTCTTTCTCTTTCTTTCTCTTTCTATATATATATATATCGTACCATGTCATTATGTTAAATTTTTTTAGCTAATAGTTATTTGCGGGTTATCTGCATGCGTTATAAAACTAAGTATTGTGTCCAACAAATATATAGATACCAGAAAACGGTGAAGCACCGCAATTTGTACTGGTTATACATATGATAGAAGACGATAACAATGAGCAAAGTATATCCAGCGGTTGGGTAGTTCTTAGGAAATTACAAGAGTTTCAGGAACTTCATAGGCAATTACGTCAATTATGTTCTTACGTGAAAACTTTCGATTTACCGTCACAACCACTAAAATTCTTTGGGAAATCCGATAAGAACACTCTCGAAAAAGCTAAAATGCAAATACAAAAATATTTAAACGTACGTATTTAATTTTAATATCTTTTAGGCTGATATTTATCAGATCAGTATTTTGATCATTTATTTTACATAATATTTACTATTAATTAATAAAAATAATGTTCAAATAAATAAAAGTGAATTTTTTACTATTAAAATAATTATATATTTTTTTTACCTAATGAATTAAATCAAAAATATTATATATTATTTTTATTCTTTAGCTCGTTTTGGAAGACGAAAGGCTTAATCAAAGTGAAGCTTTATATGCTTTTCTTTGTCCAAGTTCGGAACATTTAAAACATGCAGCGCCTTCTCCTAAAAAATCACGATTTTCATTATCTACATTCTTCAAAACTACGTACGTAATTTAGTTTGAACAGCTAAGTTAATTTAGTTCCACATTAAAATAATAATGATGATAATTATATCATCAACATATTATCTTTCTCAGATCTGGAAATAATAGCGAGTCTCGAGATAAAGAAGAAGAGGAAGATTATTCACTACTTCTCGATGATAACGATACTAATCGATCAGCAACAGATTCTTATATCGGTCCTGGAAAAGATGCCATAGCTGAACCATTGTATGCATTATTAGGAGAAATTTTTGATCTTAGGGGTGTATTTAAATGGCTTCGTCGATCACTCATTACCTTTGTACAAATTACTTATGGTCGTACGATAAACAGGTAAATTTTTAATTTCATGCAAATTAAAAAATTATTAAATACTTTTTTCTTGTATTTTATTTGTTTTTTATTTAAAGGCAAATCAGGGACACAGTTGCATGGGTATTTTCTGAACCGATGCTTCATTATTACATTCAATTGTTTACGAAATCCTGGTGGCCGAACGGTCATTTGGTATCTGGGACAATACCAAAAACAGATGAAGAGAAATTAAAGACCCGAGGAGAAGCTCGTAGACAAATTTTAAATAACGTACCTGAGGTCCTAGCTAATTTAGTAGGAGCACAAAGTGCGCAACGTGGACTAATAAAAGTCTTCGATACCTTACAAAATGTTAATCTTAATAAACAATTATTTTATGTACGTTTAAATAATCTTTATATATATGCGTAGTTTGTATAAAATAATTGAACATAAGCTTAGCATTGTAATAATTATTATTTTTCAGGATATTTTCGAAGTGGTGATGTATGAAATATTTCCTGAATTACAAGAAAAGTAAAAAAGAAAATGTGATTTGGTCGAAAGAGAAAACAAAAATTAACTCGTCATCGTGGTATTACTGCCGTATAATATTTTTATTCATTTAATCGGAATGATGATAGTTCATTGCATCGATTAATCAAGTGTGCAATTTTATCTCTGACAAAATACTGTGATTTAGTATAATTCGAGAAAAACTTTTTTGCCACACCTCCCTCATTGTTATTGTTATTGCTCTCCTTATTCTACTACATTATTATTTTCTTTTTGTTTTTTTTAAATAGTCTTATTTACTATTTTATATTTATGTATATAATTATATGTATATATTTTTTTGCTTGCATATTGTCGTAAAAGTGATACATTGATTAATTATTGTGACAAAGTGAAATAAATTTTGAACGCTAAGAAAAATCAAGTTATCTTTTTATTGAACATTAAATCTGAAATATATCGATCTTTAAAAAAAAAATTATAAATTAAAAGTTATTTATTAAAATTTATATAAGATTATTTTTGGTATTTTATTTTTTTAGATAAACTTAGTTGAAAAAGATATAATATACGAGTGGCCAAAATAAACAATTTTTAAACTGGTTTCTGACTAAGTAGATGAGAAAGAGAGAGAAAGAGAGAAAGATTGCATTCAAAGAAGTTTATATCGATTCATCGCGAGAGTCAAGTACTCCTCTTAAGAGATTTAAACTCGTAAACTTCTGTGTTTATCTTTATCGTTTCCACTTAAGAATAATTTGTAGCGAACGTTTGAAATTTTACTTAAGTTTTCTTTGAATGCCAAATAATATAACGAAGTAGCCTCCCCTAAAATTTATGTTCATCTGAAAACGAACTCTGAACTTAACTCGGGTAATAAACTTTAGGAAAAGAAATGTATACTTTAAGAAAGATAAACGTGTTAAAAAATTGTTACGAATTTTTATCCATTAATATTCCTGTCATTATTATTATCTTATTTTTTCTCTTTTTTTCAACGTATTACAAATAAACAATTTTTAATGAATAAAAAATAAAAAAATATAGAGTAAAAGAAAACACTTTGTATTCATTTTAATGAACCCAGGTTTAATAATAAATTTAGAAAAAAGTCTATATTTAACAATCGGAATTAATTTTATATTATTATTATTATTATTATTATTATTATTATTATTATTATTATTATTATTATTATTATTATTATTATTATTATTATTATTATCATTATTTCTTTCATTGATATTAAATCTTTTTCCATTTATGTCATTTTCTACGTATTTCTTCTCTTTCGTTGATTACGAATACGGAAACCAAAAATACAGAGAGAAAGAATGTGTGTGTGTGTGTGTATGTGTTATGAGAGAGAAGGAAAGAGAGAGATAAATCGTTCAACGACACACTTTCATCATGAAGCGAGAAAGAAGCAAGCTCATGGCAAAGACTAAGCGGAAACTGTGAGCTCTTTAGTGAGCACCGAGCGTGATATTTGCGAACATCAGAGCTAGTGGTTGCTGAAAAACAAAAAATAAAAAAAACAACAAATAGAAAAGAAAAGAAAGAAATAAAAAAGAAACAAGTAAAAAAGTAATTATATTTTATTCTTCAACAGTTTTAAACAATCTCAACATTCAATACGTTCGAATATAAAAGAAAATATATAAAAGAGGAAGACTCCTACAAAAAATATTCTTAATGATTTTACATAAATACATTTATATTTTTTAAATTGGAACATCATTAAGAGAAATCAAACAATTAAATCCGTTATTAATTTTTGTTAGTGTATATTATATACATATATATTATTTAATTATTTTCTATATTATTGTTTATAAGAAATAAAATTTTAAAATGTGGCCTCCGTGGATGTTAGGTTCCAATTTTTACGTTTAATGCACCTTATATTAAATTCTCGGCCTTGATTGCATGTCTTGATGCATAATTCTTTCTAAACCTTATTATACTGTGTTGATTTAGTTTGTTTAACTTTAGCAAACGTCCCGTGTATTTGGCATTGTGAATGAGCATCCAAAACACGAAACCCGGGAGCATGATTTTATATGAACCACCCAAAGTATGTATTTACTATCTATGTGCAACGTATATACATATATGTTGCTAGAACTCATACATATATGTAATATATACCGTAGAAATTATTATTCGTATACGTTACTATTCGAATAAATTCGTAATTTATGAGGTGGAGGGTTTCGTTTCATTATTTAAATATATATTTAATATTACATTTATTTCAATCATCGTTTTTAATTCTATGATAAAATTTATTCGACTTGGTATTTATTAAATTGATTTATAAATATTAATGTCAGTTTTTATATTTTATAATACATTTATTTATATATAGATAATTCTTTTATTTATAAATTTGTTTAACAAACATGCCGATAATTTTCTAATAAGAATTTCTATTTTTATTTTATTTCTTTATTGTTTTATATAGCAATTTTGCATATTTATTTCTTAGTGATTTATTATTAACGTATGTGAAAAGAATTTGTTTGAAGCTAGATATAAATAAATAATATATATATATATATAGAGAGAGAAAGAGAGAGCGAGAGAGAGTATCTCTACTTTTATCAACGATAAAAATTATAAAAAATTGTTATACATAAACATAAATTTCAAAATCCTTAACAAAATATTATTATTTGATAATAATCAAATATTATCACAGATAATAATACATGTATAATTGTATTTAAAAGGTAAAAAATAATATGTGTTTTAAAAGTAAGTTAAATTTTTAAGACGAGTATATTATTATACTGAAAACTTTGTTATAACCGAACTTTAGACATTTGCACCTGAGGCATGGCGTTAAACGGCCCCATTTGTTTCTGTGTCACCGCTACAACTTTCAGCATATTCTTCAAGTCAAGATAATAGATTAGATTACTTTAGTTCTTCAGAAAACATTTTTCAAGCTTTCTTCGTTAGAATAAAAAAAATAGTACGATATTGAAATCCTGACTTATAACATATTTAAACATATTATTTAAATGATAATTAAGAAAATTATAAATATTTTCATTCTCCTCTACAAAGAAAAAAGAAATTGCTTACGTGTATAATTATATTTAATATATCTATTTGTTTAAAAATATTTATTCAATCGTAAAAGGAGATCAATGAGATCTACGTGAATATGATTTGATCAATTTAACGACAAAAAGATTTATGGATTTAAATTTGGAAGAAAAAAACAGAAACAAAAAAAAAATAAAAAAAAGAAGAAAAAGAATTGTTAATCCCCATAAAAAATTTGTCTTCGTCTGAGTAGAATTCCAACAATCGTTCTTTCAATAATCCCCCCTTGGCAAAACCGTAAGGAAACCAAGGCAACGAGAGCGTCCCTTTGTCGTTCGATTTAATCTCAACCGAAAGAAGCCGCCTTGTCCTATTCTAACTCTCTTGTGCGAGAGGGCTAAAAGGCATATTTCTCTCTCTTTAGGCTTTTTCCGTATCTCTCTTATATATTTCTCTTACACCTGTATTTATGTATCTATATACTTATGTACCTACGTATATACGAGCATATACATATTTATATATATATATATGTATCTATATATAAAACTAGCTTTTTGCAGGTTTCAATTCATAAGGATAATAACAGAAAAAAAAAGAAAAAGAAAAAGAAAAAAAAGAAAAAAAATACACGGTAAAAGAGAAAAGTAATCGTCAGGATTAATTTTTGAATGGATCGAACGCGGGATCTATCTCGCAAACATGTTTGTTGTCCATTGAATAGTAGTCAGCCAGTTAGTCGATTTTTCGATGAAAAGTAAGATGGTAGGTGGTGATGGTATTCGGGGTGAAGGGTGAAATTGGTTCTACGAACTCTAGCGAGTGAGCGAGGGTTTCTCGTTGGTGTTAAGGGAGAAATAGAGAAAGAGATAAAAGGGGATGGGGTAGGGGATTGGAGGGAGAGAAAGAAAGAGAGAAAGAGAGGGATGCTGCGATCGATGGCATCGAGGCGCCTAGCAGCCAGGCCCTGAGCTCAGCCCTCATCCTCCCAACTCCTCTTTACCATCCCTCTCTACCACCCCTCTCTACATTCTGCAGTACGAGTCGACAAAGTACGACGACGTACTCGTTTGTGTGCAGTATGCACCGGGCACTTGCGCGTCGACTCCCGCGCCCATCTCCAGCGCCTCATCGACTCCAACTCGTGAAATCTTGTGAAAGAGACTCACCGAGATTCGATCGTGGAGCGAGGATAGTGGAGGATTCGCCACTGGCTTTTTTTCATTGTCGTTTCTATTTATTGTTCAACATGCTCTGTTCTGCAGTTTTTTAGTCTCTTTTTTTTCTCTCTTTCTCTTTCTCTCTCTCTCTCTCTCTCTCTTTCTTTGTTTGTCTGTCTCTTTTTTTCTTTTTATTTTTCTCTTTCTCTTGTGATCGGTGGTGAACAAGTGTGATTGAAGGTTTTGCTGGCGTAGATGGTGTTGTTGCCGGTGTTAGCACCGGTGGTGGGTTAGTTATGATTATGGTTACAGTGGCGGTATCATCGGTGGTGGGTGGTGCTCCTCTCAACGTGTTAAAACCGGGAATTGGTGTATAGTTCGAGCATACTATGCTACCGTCGAATCGGACAACGTTCTTAACATTGTCACTGTGATGCTTGACCTACTGGCGGATGATTATGGTAATTCTTTATTAATTATTTCTTTTTGTTTGTTTGTTTCTTGCTTCCTTTTTATTGTATGCAATTATTCTTTCTTTTTTATTTTTTTATCTATTAAAAATATGTTAACACACGAGGATAGAAGTTTTAATTAAAGTGCGGGAAATATCATGGCAAGCTGCGGAATGTTTCAGGAGATAGCCGATGTCGGAGGTGGACAAGTAAGAACAGGACTGATCTTTCTCCTCCTTATATCGGTGATCCTGATCACGAGGACTACCGGTTCGAACGGTGGCACCTGCGGCCTTGCGGAATTGACTTGTCGAGACGGACATTGTGTACCGATTGACGCTTATTGCAACGGTAAAGACGATTGTGGAGATGGTAGCGACGAGCCAGCACTTTGTACTCCATGCAATCGTACCTATCACGGCCAGGAGGGTCGAACTTATCATTTGGAGCTTCCTAGACCAGCAGAAACGCGTCTTCCTTTTCTCTGTCACTTGACCTTCACTGCAGCTAGCCGAGGTTACGGGGAACTTGTCCAACTTCTTTGGGATGCCTTCAGCATAGGACGTCTCGAACCAAATGCGGAACATCTCACGGCTAGTTGTCCTGAGGGATCATTGCAATTAGCCGAATTGGGTAGACACTTCACCGGTGGATTTTGGTGTGGCAGCGGCGAAAGCCGTGCGACTTATTATAGCGAGACCAGTACGGTCACCGCCTCAATTCGTCTCTTTCACTCCCCACCATCGGTACCCTTTGAATTTCGTTTAAGATATCGTTTCGTTTCGAAAAACGATGCTGTGGCACGACTAGGGAAGCCAGATTATCCTATTGAGAGAGGCTCAGCTGTTCCAGGAACCTATTGCTCCCGAAACTTTTACGAGTGTCATTTGAAACAATGTCGTTTACAAAGCCCAAATTATCCAGGAGAATATCCAAGAAATGCGAGCTGTATGATCACGCTCCGTCAAAAGGAGGTGCCTACTTGCAAACACGCTATGATATCTGTTAAAAATAGTCCTACCGGTCCCACTGGACTAACCAGTTCAAATGCGTCCCTCAGTATTTGGAACGATTGCACAGGTGAAAAAGATCGGCTCATCTTTCACGACGGTTTACGTACCGAAGATCCTATTCTTTTGATATATTGTGGTGGTCCTCTACCAAGAGTTATTGCCAGAGGACCAAATATGCTTGTAGAGTTCAGAAGCTCACCGATAGCTATTCCATTAGGAGCGTCAGCTCTGAGGCTCGAGTTGGAAGTTCAAGTTATTTATGTGGATTCAGATGGTCTGGATTACGCTAGGAATTCGGAAGGATGTCATTTCTTTGTCAATGGTATTTCTATATATTTATATATCTAAGTTTATATATTATTGATATGATTTTCAACTTTATTATTTCAATTGAAATAACATAAAATGACGAAATAGTAAAGTTTCATAGATTTATGCGATTATTTGACAATGATACAGGTACAGCTAAAAGGAGTGGCACGTTAAGAGCTCCGTTTCATGCACTGCCACCAACTTCCAGCTGCACGTGGAATATTAAAGGATCAGCTGGTGACCGCGTATGGATATATTTTTCGTCCTATTCTCAAAGAGATTTAACAACGAGCACGGAAAATAATGCCAGTACTCAATCGGATTCGATTTGCGGAGTTAAATTATTATTTTGGGATGGTTCTCCATTAACTGGACTTCCTATGGTTACACTTTGCGATAGTACACCTAAACTTTGTGCTCATGCGGCACTTAGAAACGCTACGAGAAGTACAAGACCTTGTACGGCGGATGAAAGTTACCTCACAATTGCACCTAGTTTAACATTGCGAATGGAAACTGTACTAGGAACTGCTCTTCATAATGTCAACTTTCAGGTAAATAATTGTTTGACATACTTTTATAAAAGTTCAGCTTTGTTAGTTTACCAAAATCATTTATTTTTAATAATTATAATATCTTAAAAAAGTACTTTGATATAACTCAATTTTCTTTACATCAAATTTCTATCATCTAATTATATTATACTCGTTAGAACTATATTTATATAAATTAGGAGAGTTAAATTTGTTTAAACTATTACCTAGCTAAACGAAAAAGTTAAAAATCCCGAAATAACAAAGTATCTGATTAAAAAGTTTTACAAAGTTATATATATATATATATATATATATATAKAKAKAGAGAGAGAGAGAGAGAGAGAGAGAGTGAAAGCTAAAGTGTTTCAGTCAATAAAATTTATTCAAAGTTTAAACGAAAATAAATCAAGAAATACAACATATTATATATACATACATATTTACCTGTTTGATCCCACAACTTCTAATTATTGTTTATAAAAGTTAAGGTATTACTGTCGATCTGTTTAGGCACAGTACGAATTTATTTCAACGGTACAAGTTGGTGAACCATGGGGTGATGGTGTTTGTAGCAGAGTTTGGCGTAAAGTTCGAAGTGGTGATGTGACGTCACCCCGGGACGTACGACTTTTCGGTAGAGGTGGCTCCTCCAAATTAGATTGCAAATATAGAATAGAAGCAGGAGTAGGCGAGAGAGTTAGATTAACGTTGCACAACGTAAGCCTCGGTGAAGCGACCTCGTGCATCAGTGAACCGGACCCGCATACTGGAAGGCCACGTTGCGTACACGAGATCGGTTCAAGAGAGGCTCGACTGGTTCTTTATGAGGCACCGTGGCGTGACGTCAAACTACCTCGAGCTTGTCTTTGCGATAACACGTCTAATCTCCCGTTGACCCATATCTCTGCTGGAAGAGCACTTGAAATCACGTTCCTGGTAGATCAGCAAGCACCTCACGAAGACTTCGAGACTCTATTCTTTTTTGCGAGTTTCGAGTTGGTGCGTTCACCGGAGTGCCCAAGAAAACAGAGAGTTCGTGGGGAAGGTAACGTGCTTCTTCAAAGATTTATCAGTTTGTCCTAAATAAGATAATTATGTCTTAATCAATATCATAGGATAAAATAAACGATGATATTAAGATAGTATCTTTTGATATCCCCTTTTGAAATATACACCTAATTTAATTAAATCAATTTTTATCTGTTCACAGGTGGCGAGTTCAGATTTGTTGCTCCACCTTTATCAAGACCAGACATCTATTGCGAAGGTCTTCCGTGGTTAGTCGAGGCTAGAGAAAATAGATCGCTGTTTGTATTAACGTGGGGTTGGTTCATGCCGTTAGAGCCTGCACCGGTATCCGAGTCGAGTGATGCTATTAAATGTCCAACGACTAATAGGATCTTATTATATTCTGGGTGGCCACCGAGATTGCTAAAAGTTGTTTGTCCAGCTGAACCAGGTGCAAGAGAGTTTGCCGTTCATGTGTTTTCTGAAGAATGGTTAGGTGGAGGGGAAGGGAAATGGCCTGGACCACCAAGACCACCAGCTCTTTTATTGGATTTTGTTGCTAGGGAATCCGGCCAAGCTGCAGCATCTTGGTTAGAAATTTCTAAGAGCAGAGCTGCTTTACGCAGACAGTTACGTCTTCCAGAAAGAGGACCGGAGAACGAGACCGTATCTCAGGGAGATTGTCCGCACAAATGTCCCGAACTTGGTGCTTGTATCGCTGCCACTCTTTGGTGCGACGGCAGGCCAAACTGCCCGTCCGGTCACGACGAGGCCAATTGCGGAAGCGGCGCTAGGTTATTAGGGTTATTGCCGCCGGCTTTATGGCTCGTTGTTGCTGGTGTTACCGGAATTGTCACTGCCTTTGCGTGCCTCTTCGTCATATTAATCAGCAGGTAATAACTTAAACTACATCTGTTATCTATCTTTGTGTTCGTTTCATTTCTATTTCATTGATATCTATCTCTTACTAAACTCATTAATATTGCTTCATTTTATTGAGTAATAAAACTTTTTAACTATTGTATAAATATAAACGTAATACCATAATAAGTATAATATTAAAATTAGAATAATATTACTATAATGTTCAAAATACGTTTAGTTAACCACATAAATACCAATAGAATAAAATTCATTAATTATTATGATTATAAGAATTCTAATAATTTTCTCAATGCTATTTGTAATAACATGAATTATAATCCTTTTCTAATATTTTGTTTATTTAATTATAATTTAGGTCCAGATTACGCGCGAAACGACTTCGTTATAAAGGAACAATGAAGAATAGCAAACCGAGACGGGCGCCGACGGAAGAGACACTTTTGGGTGCAGCATCCTGACATCAACAACCCGGCTTCGTGGAATATATTCACGTTGACCGGGAAACTACAGTTTAGTAGAGATACACACATACATACGTTCTGTGCTTCACCGTCCATTAACCAAATTCGATACTCTCTCCCTTAGGTATTCACGAAGCGAATTGGTTCATTATCATCTAGCCCCTTCTAAATTTCACTTCCCTATTCTGTCTATCTGTCTATCTGTCTATCCGTCTATCCGTCTATCTCTGTTTCTCTTATAATCAAACACACGCTCTTTATAATATGTAATTTAACAAAAACTTTGTGTCCTTTTTTATTTGAAAATGAAAATATGTGTTAGAACAAATTTTATTTTCTCTTTTTTTTTCGATAAATATAGAATATTATTTTAATGAAATTTTTCAAATCAACATAGTCCCTCTTTCCTCTCATTACCACGTGACGGTGATACACTGAATTCTTGTCAAAATAATCGACTGATTTTCTTCATTATATTTATAATAATCCTAATCGTTTATGGGGGAGACAAATTTTGGGAAAGGCAACAAGGGTAAAATCCATGGATATCCAAATAAGTTAAGGGATTGAAAAGTCTTTTTTTTTTTTATAAAATGTTCAAATGTCATATTTTTCTTTTTTTCTTCCACACTCTTCTGTTCCTCTTTTTTTTTTGTTTCTTTCATCCATCTCTTTCTTTATTATCTTCTTCCATATTATATATTTACTTCATTGTAAGATAATTATTGATTCCTTTAGATCAAGATTTTTGTAAGAAAGAAGATTAAAGAGTCACATACTTAAAATATTAGTAATACACAAACAATGTTGCATTTGTTACAATTTTTTTTGTTCTTCCAATTTTAGGTGAAACCCAGTCTATCTTTCTCTCTCTCTCTCTCTCTCTCTCTTTCTATCTCTTTCTCTCTCTCTTTCTCTCCTCTCTCTCTCACACACATACACCTCATTTATTCTCTTATCTCAAAATGTAGGGCGTCAAATATGTATTTATACATAAAAGAAAAGTAATTAAAAAAAAAAAACAAAAAAGGGTATCGCGCAAGGACCGAAAGTGAATCCGAAAAAAGTAGCACTCAGGTGAATCGCAAACTCTATATATATTTTAAAACACTTATTCTCGAATGAAAAATTAACAAAAATAAATAATTAATACAAGTTCATTTACTGCATAACGTTAGTCGTTAGATAACGAATATTTTAAATGGTACGTTTATATATCTATATATACGTCTATCGTGGAAAGCATATGACATTCATCAAATCATTTTTATTTTCTCGACTCTTCTTGAATAATTTCCTTGACATAAGTAAGCGCTTATATCACAAATTATGTAATTCATACACTAACTATATTTCCATAAAATGTTCTTCGGGAAATTTTCCAACTATGTAACAATTGTTTATCTTAAGAATTATATAATTATAGAATTAAGATTTATTTATTAAGATATATATACGTATATATATTCGAGATGAAATACGTGAAAAATATTACAGTCATTTAACGATTATTTTCTATCGTTAATTTTAATATAATAAAATAACATATTTTACGCGCGCGCGCGCGCGTACGGGATAGTAAATTAAAATGCTTTCCACGATATGCGAATTAATGGCTGGGCCTACGTTCGATTTTGACGTACCGGCATCAACGCTCTCGAGGTTAGATTGATTTATTTTTACTTATATTATTATTTTGTTTTTCTTCGATCAATCCATACAGGAGAGAAACTAATAAATAATATTATACAGTTCGATCAATAGCCATTCATCGTAAACAATATTCTTAGTTTTCATAGAGATGCGAACGATCGAATTAAAATAGAAAATAAAAAAGAAATAAAAAAAAAATTAGATGTAAACAAATAATGAATAAATTAAAATAATTTGGAATGATAAATAAGAAGAAGAAAAAAGAAAATGGAAAAATAAGATGAAATAAAAAAGAAATAAAATGAAATGAAAAATAATAAAAAAAAGAAAAAGAAGAAGTAGAAGAGACTCGAGTAAGCGTTGGTGTCGACCTGGCAGAAAAGAGTAAATAAAAATACAACACTACAGAACTACATATATAAATTTTTGCGTTGACTTTATTGTTATCTTTCTCTATTTTAGTTTATGGAAAAAAAAATAAAGTCAACATTTTCATAATAATTCATTTCAATAAAATTAAAATAACGTTACTTGTGCGAATAATGTACATAAATTTTCCATTAAAAAATTGATTCACAAATTCGAATTAAAAAAGAGAAAGAAAAAAGTGATAACTGAAATTTGTTATTCTTTAATTTTAATTTTAACGAGTATATATGTATGAGGCTGTATCGTGTTTTGTATGTAATAAAATTGAAAAATGTGTAGGTCTCTTGTAAAAATGGAGATCCTATAATGCGTCTAATGCGCCTTTATAGTAAATGTGGTTCTGTAGTTTCATATATGATAGAAAAGAAAAAGTACGGTCCGCTCAAAACAACTATCTCGAATTGTGATATTCGGAGTAATAAATACTACATACATACATATTACATACATACATATACACGTAAGGAATAATTAATTACGCTAAACGTAAATCTCACTCTTTCTCTAATCTATCTCTTTATCTTTCTAACTTTTTTTCAAAAATTTCATTTATTTAACACTTTTAGTTCATATAATGGCATTAACTAATACATGGTGATAACAATACGAACTAACTAAGAGACTTGCACTTTTTGGTACCTGCAAATGACGTTCTAAATATATTTCAAGTGAACTACGAATACCGTTGTTTTGGGCAAACCGAGACGAGTTTTAATATTAACTTATAATTAGCGAGCTATTAGAGAAAAAAATACGATGATGATAAATTATAATATCTAATAATAAGAATTTAGAATGTAGATAATTGTATGAGATGAACGAATGAGAGAGTATATGTAATTTGTATGTATATATACATATTATATGTATGTCTCATATATGTATATACGTAGGTTGGAACTTACATAGTGGCAACTATTTATTCACAACCGATACAAAAGAGTTACATGTTTGCACCTGTTAATGTCCTTCAAAGTAGTCACCAGCGTTGTGTAGAATCCGTTGCCAGCCATGTGGAAGGGGTAGTATACCGTTAGCAGAGCCTGTTCTGTTGATGGTGCGAATGGAGCGGTCTACGCCTTCCAAATCGCTGGCAACGGGTTTTACATAACGCTGGTGACTACTTTGAAGGACAGTAACACGTGCAAACATGTAACTCTTTTGTATCGGTTGTGAATAAATAGTTGCCACTATTTAAGTTCCAACCTACGTATATATAAACACTTCTGAATATAATAAAATAATAATAATACTAAAATATTATAAATATATACATATATAAGTGTTATGCCAATAAATTGACGAACTTAAATTATAGAGCATAACAAACATACATGCAAAGCATAGGTAGTCAACTTTGCTCAGGATTCGTATGAGAGAGAGTTATTTACTAAAGTTATTTGTTCTTTCATCTTTTTCTGTACTTTGATCTCTCTTTTACGAAGAAATGACACCGAAATGAATTAAAAACTGCCTTTATCGACACATAATAAATCAACTATATACTTCGACAGTCATCACAGAATTCGTTGTTTGAGTTCGTTAAAAAAAAGGAACAAATAACGAATAAAAAAAAAGGAAATTATCCACATCGAGATCTTCCTCGTTCGACATTTTAGGCATAGCGTTTAATGCAAAATGAAAAGTAGTAATTATACTATATGAATAAATACATACATAAAAAGATACACAAACACAGAAATGTGTTGATATTTCGTTTAGTAATTTATAATAATAATAATAATATAATATATGATATAATATATAATATATTAATAATAATATAATAAAAACAGGAAGATTTTTAACGATGGACGATGGAACACGAATGCGAATAAATTATCATCCGAAAGTGCCATAATTATTCTCTAATCATTTTTGTTTAAATTTTTTTTTTTTACTTTATTAAAGTATATAGGCAAATACGTGATAATTATATGGAATGTCTACTATGAAATGTCATTATTGATTTGTTTTTAATTTTGTTTGTTTTTCATAAATAACAAAATAATCAGACAACAATTTCATCGTAGACACTCTGTATTAAAGAACATACATACATACACACACAATTGTATATGTACGTATTTACTTAGTTTTATAAGATTATATATGAATTATGTTCGATAGAGAGAGAAATTCGTAGGATACGTTTTTCAATATTTCGACATTTTTAAACCATTCGTGTTATCATACAGCATTATTGTCTAATTGAATATAGACGAGAATACTGTTATTTTTAGTGATAATGTAAAAGTAGTCATTAGATTGAAAAGCTCGTGTTTTATGTAAAGTATTTAATTAATAATATTAATAATAGTAATAATAATAATAATAATAATAATAATTTTGAGGTGCATTTATGAATGGCACACTCATCGAAATTTAGCCTTACAATTAGGATCGTACTAAACAAAAACGTATTAAAATATACACTTATAGAATACTTATGCTCTCATTATACATCCATCCATACATACATACATACATACATACATACATACATACATACATACATACATACATACATACATACATACATACATACATACATACATA